TTGCTCCCTAGAAATAAGTAAATAAAAGATAGAAGTTTTGTTGTAAGCCATAGCAAGTTTATTATAAATATGTAAAATGCTATAAAAGTGATTGGAAGAGTGTCATTGTCGTTATAATTGGCAGACTGTCCATTGTATTACATATACATAAACATATATATGTATGTGCACTGCATAATATGTTAGCAGGTTTTATTGTAAAGCCACTAAAATATTGATTGCTATATTAACAAAATACATAAAGAAACGTGCTTACGCTTGTAACGTGTTCATGCTTTAAATTTGTATATCAAACAAATGACGTTTTACGCCAGTGACTTGATAAATTAGTTTCTATCACACTGAACATACAATAATCACCTCTAATAAAAGAGCTCTCAATGAAGTTTGACAAAAGTCATTGTTATAATATTAGTTATTAATAACATTTATATATTTTTAACAAATAAAATATTTTCTTATAACTGGTTACTATTTTATTTTCAGTTCCAATATATTGTTTTTCTTTTCATTAGTTTTAAATTTACTGATACATAAAATTCTTGTTTGTATTCTAATGCTTTGTACTATTAAGCTATGTATTTAAAACTAAAGATTTTTTTATATAAATTTAAATTTATATAATAAAGAAAATATTAAACTGAAGTACTTTAAGATAAAAATAAATAATTCATATTTAGCTCGAAACTTTAGTAATACAAAAGATATTATATTACAAAAATCATCTTATAATTGTATTTGAAAAAGAAAATGTTTGAATTGTTGTTTCATAGGTGACAACATAAGTGGTTCCCATAATCATGTTATTAGACGGTTTGATTGAGAATATTAACTTTCCTTGTAAACATATGTTCAATTCATTTGGATTATTAACAACTTTCATATAGAGGTCTGACACATCGAAATAAATTGTTCTTTTTGTTGTGAAAACAAGATTTTTCCATGCGCAATCAAATCGTGGTTACATTGTGTAGGCTAATTGTGATTAATGTATGGAATAAAAGATTAAACTCATTAAAATCAAGGGTCCATAACGTGAATGTAATTTTTTTTCATCATCATTTTCTTGTCTCTTTCTTATCTTTTCTTTATAAGTTTTGAATCTTTTATACGACTATGAGTTCAACGAAGGTTTTCTTTAGCTATGAGCATTTTTTGGCAATATTAAGAGATGCTAAACTGTTTGCATAGGAACTTTATTAGAGCTATACACATGTGAAATAAAATTATGTTTTACGGATATAGTTCTTGATTTAACTATTATTTTAAATTTTCACGATGTTCCGATTATTAAAAATTACAGAAACGGTTACTACCAGACCATTTCATCTCGTCTTCCCTCAATCACGGTTACTGTAATCGCAATTTCGGGAAATATAAAATACAGTAAAAAAAAAAAACAAAATATAAATCCCGAAAAACATATGTAGTTATTATTCAAATAGTAAATACATGAACAGTATATTCGTCGCTTTAGAAAATATATTTATTAAAGGAATAGCAACTATTCCTCCTGGCTGGCGGTGTCCTCCTTCTGTGAGACGGTCATGTTGACGAAGGAGGCATCTGAGCGGGAAAGGGAGGATGTGGCTGATGCACCCTCCCTCCGCTGATGACGTACTGTCTTGCGATGGAGGCTATTCCAACGCCTCCAATAGCACCCCTGTGCTCCGGGCTGGGGTCGGCTTGGTAACCCGGCTCCAGTGAGAGCCTGGCGTCGTTAGGGTGATCCTTATTGCAGGGATCGACCCATAATCCGAGGGAGTAAGTCCGGTCTTCGCCTGGACCGGCCAGTCGCTGATCGCTAACAGATCCGGGGTACACTGACCTAGCGGCCGATGGCTTTTGCAGTGGTTTTAGTGACTAGGGGACTGGCCAGGTCGAGTCTCATACTTCCCTTCCGGTGCCACCATGGCCGGTTGGACGGCTGGTAAAAAGAGTTTCCCAGCGTCATCAAAAGAATAAAAAGTTTAAATAAGTTTAGTCTGAAGTCTGACTGAGTAATGGTTTTACAACTGCTCTAGTACTAATAAGGTCTTAACCGTTGGTCGTTCGCGTGTTTCAAGTATATTATCCTCCCATTTATATATATTTATGTATATGACTAAAATTTTCTCCAAATTTTATTTCAATCCTCTAATTACCTAAATACATAATGTCTTGCCAACAATTTGACGGGCTTAAGGAATAAGCCCAAGCATGTTATTTAGTATTTACTTGTTTTTTTAATTACAATAATATAAAAAACTTTTTCATTATTAATTATGAAAATTTTAACTTTATATAAAGCAAACTCGATATATGTTAAAATTAAATGTGTTTTTTGTACCGTCGGATAATCAGGTTATTTAAATAATCTACTTCCAATATCTTGGCAATTCATTAACATTTTTTTTAAATTCATCAATTAAACCATATGTTGGCTCTTTTGTTAAAAAAGGGTCTTATATTTAATAAAAATGCGTTAAGACTACCATTGAAATAGCCGAATATTATTATAAATAAGTTGATTTGTATTTTACTGAAAAAAATCTGTCATAAAGATTTTAGAAATTATTTGACTAATTATGTCAACTAACTAATCGTTTTATAAATTGCTTTTACTTTTTAAAAATGTGAATAAGATTAGAATATACATATATTGTATAAAAATTTCTAAATTAATATCAATATGTACATATTTGTTTTTGTATATTTTAAATAAAATTATTTTAAAAATTATGTTATATTCCTCAACTACTGCTACATGTTATAGAGATATAAAGTTAAAATTTTAATGCTTTACGCTCTTATGTTATGGTTATAAACATAAATGTTACTACGTGCTGGAGTATAGCAATTCATATTGCTTTTAGCAGAAACGTCTATATTCTTGGACATTTTGTAAAAAACCTTTTTTACAAATATAACTTTAACAAATCTTTCTAAATAAATTAAATCAAAGAATTGTTATAGCCAATACGTTTTCTTGCTGTCTATTGTATCCGTAACATATTCGTCCACTTTCCATTGCATTTTAGCATTAAAACGCCATATACACTGTGGTCGCGACCCGAATAGTACAATATGTCGAGCAATCGATTGATATATATTCATGCAAACGTATTCGTATGTATGTATGTACTTGTATAAGACCGGAAGAAAATTCTACACTATCTGGCATAGTTACGCGTCATTTTTTCGTCAGCTCCAAAGCATGATAAGTGAATATTATTTTAATTGAAGAAATGTTTTTAGTGCACACTTTCTATACACAAAAAAATATTACGCTTCAAGTCTTATTTTGTAGAGCGTTTATATTTTCGAGACAATTTTTTTTTAATTTTAAACTCATCTTTGCTAAAAGTAACCTGTACTACAAGTAGCCTATACCGTGTTATAATACTATATATAGGCAACATTTAATATACTTGCTATGAATAAAATTAATTGCCCTCATGTGTTGAACTCCATAAATTATTTAAAAATATTGCAAAATGGCCATTGAACTAATAAAATTTCTCTTCAAAAACAATGCAGGAAATGCCATGCATAACAAAATGAATATCCGTCATGAAATTACATGACCAGAGAATATGGAGCCGTGAAAAATTTATATCTTACGCAATATTAGAAAACACATTTATAATTTGATTCCCAAATTACTACATATATCGTATTAAATCATTATTAAGTTACACAAGCGATTTTTTCTACTGGTTTTGGGTATAGATATTATGTATTCTTATAGGATATTTAAATATTTTCGTTTGAAAACACATATAATGCTAGAGATTTTGCAGTTTAGAGATTGCTATAGTTATTTTATGTAAATATATGACTTACAACTTAAAGATCATTTCCTTAATTTTCCTTGGTTTGCAAACAAACAGTTACAACTCATAAACAGTCGTTTTAAATCATTATATCAATAATAATAATCAATAAAAAGAACTAAATCGAAATTATCTTTTACTTAATCCGAAACATAAATTTTTATAACGAAAAAAATACTATTTTGTTAGTATTTATTTTGTAGTCAATCATTCAGTCAAAACCAAATCAATGTTATAATCTCTGTATGGGATTTTTTGTAGCCAGTAGGCAGTTCGTCGATAAAACGATTTTTGACTTTCATTACTGCTTCAATGAATGGAATCTAAATGAGGTACACTTGGCATACTTCGCAGACGAAACCTTTAACGTAGTAACGTTGCGTGGCTTAGTTCTTATAAGCACTTCTAATATGTATAATTATTTGATACTAGGCCATTCGGTTATACCGACTACGGTATGTCATAAATAAACACTTTTTACTTCTTCAAATAGTAAAAAGAGATAACAAAAATAATGAAATTATATCTTACTTTTATGTATTAATGTGTATATATGTTTAGTTTTAACTGCTGTTAAGTAAAATCATGTGCTTATCTTTACTTTACTTACACTTATACTTACGTTGATGATTAAGTAATAAATATAAGTCACTCTAGAGCTTAATGGTTGTAAGTGATGATAGCAAAAAGTTTTCACATCGCATTAAATTGTATAAATACTGTAAAATCACTATTTACAGCTCAGCGTAAATAATATTCCTTTACATTTTATATATTACAACCATTAAACATAAAAGATTTTATTTTATAATATATCATATCATTTATTATAGTTAAGAAACTCGAAAACCGTAAAAAAACGAAAGTTAATCTCTACCAGTGAAGGGTGTTCCTAATTTTCTAAATTATAATCGTAACAATTATATGGTACCATCTTATTAATTATATGAATTAACGTTTAATTATTTATATAATTAAGGCGAAGCAAATAATTTATATAGTAAATAGTTTGTTTTTTTTCGAAAATACAACGAACTTTCAAAGTCGCGTCAGTATGTTCTATGCGTTCCCTGAGCTACTCACACATAATTTAGTTACGATGGGGGGTGGGGGGGATGGGGGGGACCATATATATAACGGCAAAGTGCCCCACAGGAGTATCAGTTCTCGGGCCACTACAGGACAATGAAGTCATTCGTATTACTGTTAATTAGTGTCGCCGTAGTGGCAGCGAAGCCCACGGATGAAGATGTTGTCGGATCTGTGATCGGCGTCGTCAGGAGTTGTTCCGAGAAAGATGTCTCTTTGTGTCTCAAGGTGTGTTGAGTGTTTAGTGAATTGTGATAATTGTTCTAATAATTTCAAACGAAACGGGACTGTTAATATCTGTTTAATATCTTGTATTGTTGTATACACCTAATGTTAATTATCTTTCATAAAAAACAAACAAAAATTACAGGCATTCATTAAATTTACTCATTAAAATATATATAAGTTTTTCTTATATAGATCTTCTACTATTAATTTCTAGTTACGGTACGGCAGTAGGTCGTTTTAACGGTTGGTCAAGTGTTCATGACTAAGATAATATAGTAACTAAAGATGTCGTTGTATGTAAATTAAACCTTATAGCGTAAAACTTAAGGTTTATTTCATGAATCATTCGTAATTGATATAAAAAAATTAATACGAATAATTATTCGATTGTTACAGGAAAAAGCACTGAAATACGCCGAAAACCTGTCATCTGCTCGCGAAATCAACCTGATCGATGGGGTTACATTAGTAGGCACGGGATCTTCGCGTTCCGCAAGATCCTTCGAGCCATTATCTGAAGAACCACGAGCGAGAGAGAGCCAAGTGGAGTCCAAGGCTAGTGGATGCAGCAGCTGACTTCCTGGAAAACCACGTCATCCAACTCAGGGTCCCAAAAGACACCGTCGACGATGTTAAGAGATCCCTTGAAGAAGGTTAGTAAAAAATATATATATGACTAAAAACATTTATTTTTTAGTAATTTCAAATAATTAAAGTACCGGTTCTCTTTGAAAATTCCTACTTCATTTTCTTTAATTGCTGATTATATGAGATGACTTTTGAATTATATAAATTATTCACGTCTAGCGTTAACTTGCTAATTTGCATGTAATAAATTATGTCGTATATCTGTTAATCTCAGCGCTTTCACGCATAGAAATAGCTAACCTAGCAAATATTTTAACGGTAAGACAAACTCGCCAAACTTCCCGTTCCATACATACGCAGCCTTAAAATATAACCCTCTGAAATCACTTGTAACTTTAAAATATTACATTATAAGTAAGTAAGTATATTGGTAAGTTCTATATTACCACCAACACCAAATAATAAATTCATTGAGGTTATAAAATAGTCTTTTATAGAACAATCTTCCGTTAGAATTTTAACTTAGTTATTAAACTGTAAAAATAACATTATAATTTTTAATCCAATATATTTAATAATTATTGCCCCAAAAAATATATATTTATAAGATAGGTCAGTTTTAATTTAATTATAAACAAACTCATATTTGCGTGATATAAATCATTTTATGAATAAGAAGAGTAATTTAGAGAAAGTGAAAAATACAATGAGCCTATAATTTGATAGCGTTTTGATATCGTATAAACAGGTACAATGGTATGTAAAATCGTGAGAAGGCCTTAAGCTGTACATAGATACGTGCTCAATATAAACATCGTTGTACTTATACAAAACCAATGTCTGTGATATAACATAGAGGTTATATAAAACAAATGCTCGTATAATTTCTGCCAATCACTTCTCTCTTGCCAAAACGCAATTAAAAACTGGACGAACGTGTACCAGTTTGAGATGTTTAAAATGGAAAGTCATTCGTCATAGATATCAACATATTAATTTCTTTTATAAAAATCACAAGACTTATAATTATAGATACGGAATTAGAAATCTCGCGTCCTGATCTTCGTATGGAAACCGTGAACGAGACTAGCAGGAATTTCTCTGCCATTAACAAGGTCTTGAAAGCGGGCGTATAAAGTCAAGTTTTTGCAATTTCCACCTTTTGTAGGAATGTCTGCAACTTGTTTTAGATTTCCGCAATGACACTAGTAAAAGTCTTGCTCCAGGCGGATTCTTCGACGGAATATGGATGTGGGTGAAGCTTTCGAAATTTATCAACCTGATGCACTTTCTAGATAAATGAGGTTGTTATGCAAACAGAACCTAACATAGTGAATTACAATGAAAGGGACCCTTGTTTGTATTTTAGTTTGATCTGTGCTTTGAATTCCAATCAGATTTTGGACAATGGTCTAACGTTATATGTTTATGGATGAACAAGTTTAGAAATTACACTGTGTCTTGCAGTGCTTTCACAGCGACCGACCAAAAATGGTGTTTAAAAATTAGGACTTAACAGAATTAATTATAAAATCATTTCTATTCATTTTAATAATTAAAACAATTTCAATTTATTCAATAGGTCGTGGCAAGAAGAAGAAGCTGAAGCAGCTGATCCCGATCTTCGCTCTCCTGAACCTTAAGATCCAATCTCTCATTCCACTCTTCCTTGGAATCATTGCCTTTGCTGCTGTCAAGGGTCTACTTCTCGCCAAGGCTGCTTTATTGGCCTCCGCTCTTCTCCTGCTCAAGAAACTTCTTTCCAAGAACGACCACCATGAAAGCTATGAAGTCGTCGCTCATCCTCATCACGAGGAGCATTACAGCCACGGCGGCGGCCACGGCGGCTGGGGCAGGTCCCAAGATGCTCAGAATCTAGCTTACAGCGCCTACTCCGACTAAACCTAAGATTTTCAATTTAGTCTTACTCGGACCTCAAAGAACATTAATTTATTTAATTTAATAATTTATTTAAATTAATTAAACATTTCTTCTTCATACTCGGCTATGGTCTTCGCGTCACCGGAGTATTTTTATGTACCTGTTTTTTATATAGTACAAATATTGTTAAGTTGTAACGGTTTTAACATTTTTTTTATTCTTCTTTAATGTTAAAATAGTATATTATAAAAAATGTTTAATAATTTCTTAGTATATTATGTATCGCTTTTGTAAATATGCTTAATATATTTTTATTTATGTAAAATATTGTTCATAACATCTCATATTTGTATGTATGTTTATTTTATATATTTTTTTTCTCACTTTATATTATCTTACGTATATTATTTTTAAGGTGATGCTCTTCTTTGTCATATTCTTTTCGATTTCCCACCATTAATAAATACGGTAATAAGTCATTATACGTTTTCGTTTCATTCATACATATATAAAAACGAGTTTTGTTTAAATAAAATCATTCAAATAAAATGTTGTTTCATTAGATTTATATAACAGTTATAAAAATGCCTTTCTTATTTATTAAAATATGAAATTTCTCATATGATTATTTAAATAAATGAAATTCTTAATTTAATAATTAATTAACTGTTCCTTGTAAATTTAAACACGATTCTTTGTGGATTGGAAAGTACATAAATTATGAAATGGGGCACAATTTGGACATATCAGATAAACAATTATTAAAATACATATTTTATAGAAATATTTAAATGAAAAATTCGATACTTTCATTACTTATCTAGTAACACTAGATTTAATTTGAATAGACAATGCACAATTCATGTAGATGGTAACATTTGTTTAATTACTGTAGAAATTCTGTAATAATGCCACTAATAATTTATAATCAAGAAATTCAAAATCTTTTCTGAAAGATCTGGTTAATGCTATTTTTTGTTTAATTCGCAATATAGCTTGTTAAAACTTATATGATCTTAAACAGTCTCATTAGAGTGAGTAAAAAATAGTAAAAATTGGTTATACAGAAAACTACACGACTCGTGTGAACTAGATTATTGACTGGGAACTTCATTGTCGATGAATAAAAACTAAACTGTTCCGTTCTTGATATATTTATTAAAGTAGCAATTTCCAACGTTTCTCTTTTTAACAGACTGTGTTCTTATCTGATATTCAGTCTTCAATACATATTTCATGAGGAGCTTTTCAATCATAATATTAATTTTCAAATAATGTAATATTAATACTGGCCATTAAAGGCAATTAAAAAGGTTAGGTTTATTACGTAAAAAAAAACATATATGTACATATTTATATCTAAAAGCAAAGATAAAAAGAACCTGTTAACAAAATATAGCTAAAAATATAACAAAAATGAAGAATCATACTTTAATTTTTGAAATTTCGTTAAAACAATCATTAAAGAAATGAAAGTTTAAAAAGTAGATCATTTCTTTGTATTTAGGTAAAATAATATTAAACTATTACAGTATTTAAAAATTCAATCAGATATTTTAAATATATATGAAGACGATTTAAGAAAAATATGTTTTAATTTCCAAATTTATCTATTATCTTCAAACAGCCTTTAGGGAACAAAGCTCCTTATAGTTATTATGAATAGCGCCATCTCTTAACGACATGTTGAACTACGTTCATGGTCATGTTTGTTTACGTCTTTAGCGCTTATGAATGAATACATATATCTGGAAGTTCAAGGTGTAAAAGTTCAAGTAAATGTCGCGTTCATTCTCCACATGAACCTGTTTATTGAAAGAGCAAATACTTGCAATGGGTTCTTAAATTCATGATTTAATTCACTCATATATTTATATGTTTTTTTAAGTCTTTAAATTTATACTTAAAAGAATTTTTGAAATAAAAGGTGGACTAATTAGATATGTTAAGGCTAAAAAGACTTTAAACTATATTACGAATATGATTAGTTAAAATTTTATTGACTTTGTAAGTAGACTTACATATAATATTATACTTTAATTGAAATGATACTTAGAACACAAAGACTTTTTATTTTTAGAGCCATCTATGAAACGAAAATGGAAGCTTATATGCTTATACATAAAAACTTAGCAACAAATCACAAATTTAAAATTTTTTAAAACTTTGAAGTGGAAACATATTAAAAGTATTGAAACATTTGGTTCATTTTCAATTAAATAACCTAAAACAGTTGAAGGTAAATATTAATTACATTATAATATTTGTAACTCATTACAAAACGAAGAAATAAAGCAAACAAAAATGTTAAAAGTAAACTTGCATAATACCGTAAGTTTTATACAGCTGGGTGAATAATAAAAAGACTACGAAGCAGTCGTTAGCTTATTTCATTTCTTTGCCAAGGTTACTAGTTACTACCTCCGTGGTTGACATAGTTTTATTTGTTACGGTAAGAGATGGCGTAAGTGTGTCTTGGTTTTATTTTAGTTGGCGTTCATTCAATGTTTATCTAATGTTAAACTAAATTGTTTTGTTTCTTTTTTATAATAAATAAGTTTATAAGTATTCAGTCTTTTCTATCAGGATCTCTGTCCCATTTTGATTTCGGCGATTTCAAAGTACTGTTGTTAATAATTCCCTCCTAAGCTTAACTGCATGTGATAAGTTATTGTGTCTAGATTCTGAATGATGTTGAATGAGTCTCAAATATATAGATATGTATATAAAATCTGCTCTTTTTTGTACCTTATTTATAAGAAAACTTGTTACGTTTACAATTTAAAAGTACAGTTTCCTTATAAATTTTCTCTTGACCAGTGAGATTAGATACATCCGTTTTTAACTGGCCCCGATTTCATATACATGTATGCGATTGCGATTTCCAAGTGTTTATGATGCAGCGATCTTCAACTGATTAAGGTTCAAGTATCCTACTAACATAGATGTGTGTTTGAAAGTATGAATGGTCCAGAGAAGCTCTAGACTCTAGACTCTAGCCAATAGATAAATATCATGAATTATTTCTACAACAGAAAGCAAAAGAAATAACAAATCATTATAATAAGCAATAAAAACTTTACTTATATATAATTTTAATATCTATTTATATAATCAACTTAGCAATAACTTATCATTATTAATGAATCTAGAAAATGTACATAAGCTTTGGAACATAAACCATGCTCTCAGTAAATCCATTTTAAGTACTTTTACTGATATTATCTCGTCATAATAAGAATCTTCACGGCTCAAATAATTTATGCGAACCTCTTATTTAGACTTTCGGATTAATTTAAAGGATTTTGACCCCTCACTTATAATAATTAAGATACATTGTGTTATTTTCTGAATAAATGAATTTAATTACGGTCTAATAATCCAAAGATCTGTGGTAGTTTAGAATAGTGGACATTTATTTCAGTTAAAATTATCTTCAGTCTAGATGTAGTCCTACAAGTTAGAGAACTAAAGCCATTGTAACGTTTATTTTTAATTTTTTTTTTTTTTTTTTCTTAGATGAATATCAAGATTTTTTATTATGTATATTTCGATAACATTTTTGTTATACATTCTTTATAAATGACAGGACTTCATTTATCTGAATGAAATATTTGTGATAGTTGTATTCAAAATAATTATTATACTTTTTCGTCTAGAAGAGACCTGTAATATAAATAATTTTTATTGAAAAATAAAACACATACATACATACATATAATAAGGGAAATAAAAATACTCATCAAATATTAATAATTTAATGAAATAAATCTCTTTGTTGTCATAAAATTATAAAGCAGAATAACCTATAATAAATAAAAATATAATAATCTTACAAGGAATATAACTTAAGGAAGAATACTGAAATTGAGCAGAAAAATATATCCATAGAATAACCGACGGGCAAAAAAAAACTTAAATAGGAATACAACTACTTATATAATATTAAAGCCAGGTACATTAAACCATATATATTGAGCTATATCTATCTTATTAATATCTTTGCAAAATAAAATACATACTATATATAAATAGTTACAAAACACCTATAAGGTATACTCAAAATAAATAATCTATTCTTCAGTCAGGCTTCAGACGGACACATCACAATCGTACACAAAGTGAATAAATAATTGAACGGAGAAATTCCGCAAAAGAGGTCATCTAACTGGGTCGCGGAAAGTTACTGCTTTTGCGCTGAGTAGGCTAAGCTTTGCGCGTCTACTGATCGTCCCCAACCGCCGCTATGTCCGCTCCCGCCGCTGTAACCTCCACTGTCACCTCCATAACCACTGGCACCTGCATAATCATGACTCGACGTATGACTGGTCGAGTGATGCGGATGAGCTACCACTTCATAAGTGACATGCTTCTGTTGTGATAGAAGTTTCTTCAAACCTATTATCGCTGACAGTACTAACGCCAGTTTACCGATGAGTAAAGCCTTTCCTGCTATTAAAGCGATGGCGCCGATGGCTAAGGGTAGTAGCGCCATCATTTTCAACATGACCGCAGCTATAATAGGTCCTAGAATTTTGGCTGCTTTTTTCTTTTTCCCTCTGCTTTCTTCTGATAATTCATTATCATCTTCGGTGAATGATGACACTGTGTCTTCCAAGGCACGACCCACACTCGATACCGTATCTATCACATCTGAACCTTTAACTTCAACCCTCAATGAATGTGTTTCTAAGTATTTCTTCATTTTCGAAACTGGATCTAAAGCTCTGGGCGCTCCTGTTTCTGGCGGCACATCACTAGCTCTTACCACTGTGACTCCATCCGTTAATGAGAACGATTCTTTTTGACCGATCATTTTGTCTACGAATGAAAAGAATTTGTATTTCAGACATAGTGTCGAATCTTTTTTAAGACAGTCGCCTAATCCGTCTATTTCGTTGTCTGAATGTCCCGAGTCTTGGGCGGGAAGAGCAAAGCATGATGCTGCGAAAGCTAAGATAGCGACCGTCCTTAACATTGTAGCGTTAGATACTGACTGTGCGCCGGCGCAATGCGGCTATGTTTAAATAGTATCCACACCCTCGCCTCGAGCCCCGTTAAATACCGAAATAAGTTGTACTTTCTCAGTCTAGGAGTAAAAGTAACGTCCAGGTTTCATAATGTTGCGTCGGCGAAAGCCTTACTGCGGTCACCGTAAAGGTCGCGAACTTGAATTTCGATTGTTTGGCTCTGTGGTGTAATTTAGTACGTAATTCGACTACTAAAATCGCAATATGCAATTGTATGAATACTGTAACAGTGTACACTATGAAAGAATAAAAATAAACATAACTATGAAAAGTGGAGCACAATGTTGACTTGTTCTTTATTTTTACAAATTGTTACCAACATTACATTATCATTATGTATTCGTTATGACAGGCGTAAAACAAACAAAAGTCTAACCGACGCGCAAATAAAACAAGGAAACAAAACTTGTTCTGTTTTATTTACACTGCAATTTACACAGTCTATTGTTGAAGAAAAAATGTTTGACTCATTTATTAAAATTAAACAGTAATACATGTTTATACGAATACAGAAATTCTTAATTACATATAGTTTTTTAATTAATTATTCACTGTACGACACCGATTGTTCTTTTTTAATTAATTCGTGTTAAATTTTATTACAGTAATTCAAAGATATTTTGATGTGTAGAAAGTATAATTTAATTGATTTGTAGAATTAATTGAATTTCGGAAAGTAAGAGTAATTTTGAAGTGTTCTAAAATCACGCATCTCTTTAATTCAGACCACGGTAAACCTCTCCTTGAGAACGTTCAAAAATGTTGGACTTTATTACTTTAAATTCGATACACGCGAGTACAAAGCTTTATGATGGTTACTTTCCAATATAACATCATTTTCTTTTGTTGTCCAGATGACATTTTAAGGTTTAGAATTTGCCTTTGCCCTTCGCCTTGCGCCATTATACATATCTTGACAGTAAACATACTCAATTTTAGAACAATTTACGTGAAAATTAATTTACAATATACGTTCACTAAAAACGATGTGATAATAAAAATCAATTTATCAATAGGTTAGGATTTTTAATATGTAGTAAGCTATAATGTTTGCATTTAGTATTGTTTGTTCATCAAATAAGTTTTGAAAGGACAAAACCTATCATGACTCAAATATAATATAGTGTACTCGTATATTAAGGTGAATCATTTCAACAGACAGACAATCAAACTATTCCTCTTTTTTTATTAATATAAGAGCATTATTTACCTTGTCATTAAAGTGGGTTCTATGTGAATCTAGGCTGTACCCACGGCACATACCATATAACCTTCAATGGACGTAAACCGTCTTTAGATCATCTGCTTTCTAATAAATGAATCTATTTTATTATAAAAAATATGACACATATATTACGATAAACAATATAATTACTAGTTTCATTAGTATGGGAGTAATTTATTTATATATTTGAATGTCAAAATATATTGATATTGAAGTAAATAGCCTTCGTGGAGATAATATATTTGTCTGATCTTGTATGTAACATCCACTAGTAAAACCGTCCTAGATTCTGCTCCAGTTGCCTATGTTATTAATCTACATAGAATCTCCGTTTTTGTCATGGTTCCCATACATGCTACACTTATATATAACGGATAAATAAACGAGTTGAATTATTGTTTGGTTGAAAATAATACATACTATTTTTATATTAATTATTTTAAAGATAATATGCATATTAAAGAAATATGTTAAATTCAATACATTATAATTTCAATATTAGCTCTATACAAAAAATATTCTTTGAGTGCTTCAAAACATTTGAGTATTTGAGATGTAACCATAGTTTTGATATACCTTTCACTTTTCAAGTGTAGGGTCAATGGCCACATCGTTAAAGATGACTTGAAGATGTGTACTTTTTATATTATCATATTTTTTATATTAAAAATATGAAAACGAAAAATTTTTCATGCTTATCATGTATAAATTAATATGTGTTGGTGTTAACAATTATCATATGCGACGAAATTCTTCGAGTTGACAATAACTTGAGTCATTAGCACTTTAAAATGCTTAATTATGTACTGTTGTAAACATTGTGAGAAATGTTAAAAGTGAAAAGCACTTGACTTTACATTGTAAATTTTCAGTACGCGTTTTACAAAGTGTTTCCTAAATGATATGACGTACATACATATGACTGAAATTATTTCCAAATCCTTTTCCATATCCCTTTGAATTGAAACGAAGAAAAATTTAGTATTGTCTTCCTAAGGCAATTAATAATAGTTTCGTTTTGAGATGGACATTTTAAATACTTTACCTTGGTATGAAACGATTTGTCAGTAAAAGTCTACAGAGTCATATTATAATACAATTTAAGTAACAAATTGGCTATAAGCGGCAGAGTTGGGACAAAAAGAAGAAAAAAAAACATACCAAGTGAATTGTAATTTTATTTTTTTTTTTTAATAAACGTAAGATTTTTATATTCTACGGCAGACGAGATGAAAGTGCCCGTGATGACGTTTGCTGCAAAAGGAACCAAAACGTCAGAAGTATGTAGTTTTAAAATTATGATAGAGATATAGATTATTCTGAAATCTTATTTTTACTTAAATTTATTTTCGCAAAAATCTTAAATATACATAATTTTTTAATTAAAAAAGATGGTTTCAGCAAAAATATTATAATAAAAAATGCATTCGATATGGTGTCATTTTGTCATTAGGTTTAAAGAAGTGTATGTATATACCTAATGTATAATGTAAATTTCAGCCTAATGACATTTATATATATCTTGATGACTTGTTAATGACAAGAATCTTAGGGTCAATATGTCATATGTAAGTGTCAACTTTGATCCACAAAGGCTTGCTATTTAAATGTTGTGATCGAAGGATAATTTAGAGAAATAAATAAGACTGGTCCTTTTGTTTAAACAGTTTATTAAAACTTTACTTGGAGTGTGTTTTATAGTAATGTATACGAATTCTTAAAGATTTTTATAACTTTCATTGAGATAATATCTTAAAAAACTAGCGAACTTATATGTAATTTTATATTAAAAGCATAGTGAAATATAAAATGATATTTTTCTCTCAACAACTTTACCCTTTTTTGCGTCATTGACTATAGTAAGAAAAATATATAAAAATTCATGTCTTTGAATATATATGTATACATGAAAATCATATTTACAAGTATAGCGTCATTCTTTACGGAACTCTAAACGGTATTGCTCTTGAAGATTCTAGAAAGTAATATTTTGTATATAACATATATTTTAATAACATCTAACGACTTTGTAACGGGGGTCATGTAATAATCGACGAAATCAAAACGTGCCTCGCACTTAAAAGAGAAAGTCCACGTTTATACAATATAAGTGATTATATGTGATCCAGCAATTTCAAATATAAAAAAAACTACTCAAATATAACGCTATTCATTCATATTAATATATAAAAATGTTAATAGTAGGAAAAGGTCGTAGTTTATTAAGTACTTATTTATAAAAAATGCATAACTTTAGTAAAAAACTAATGTAAAATGCGTAACCATAAAAAGTCTGTCTGTATCACTCAATCTGTGGCATTCAAATGTGTAATTGTATACAGATTCATAAAAATCCGACCTTTCGTTTTTGTAACAAAATATTAAATAAATAATATGCATTTAAATCTTAAAGGCATAAATAATCATACATATAATTTATTGTAATAGTAAATAAATCAATAAATTTATTTATATTTACAACGTCTAGCGTCTGTCTACTTATTCAAATAACAATTTGCAAATGAATAATTAATGAGATTGGCTGTTTTTAATGCGTCGTGCTTCAAAAGCGCCTTTAATTTATTTTGCAAACCTTAATAAGTGTATAATCATTTAAAAAAAGACTGTATTAGGTGATTATATTTTTAAAAATTGTATTTTTTATATATGTAATAGTATATTATATGTCTTAGATATTAATACATTCCAAGGGCTTAAGTTCATAGTGAGAGATCCGACTTTCGCTTACTTTCGTTTAGTCTCGGGTCGGTGGATTACAACGCACTGCTAAGTTTCTGATGACTCTCTTTAAATTAACCTGTAGCCATGTATTCAGTAATGTGTACTACAAGTTTTATGACTGACGAACAATATCACAGTTTTTGAATAAAACAACCTTGAAAATTGGTAAATTTTAACTATAGTTCCCAAATTGGTACCTAATTTGATGGGTCAAAATGTGGTTTGTCAAATGCCAGTCAACGTTTTGCATTACAGCAAGACTTTGTTCTTTTAAATATATACATAAGGTTAAGTAATAATTCTGTTGCTATTTTCTCATAGCTTCCTAATATTTGTCTTGAACTCAAATTCTAAAGCAATAAATGATACTCTCAATTCAGTGAGGTTTTAAAACTATCAAGTTACCGTCAAAAGTGAAACTAATATTAAGGGTTCTTTTGCTTGGTATGTGTTCATGAAGTGTGAATAATGAGTTAGCGAAATATTAACATTTTTAAGATAAAAAAGTAAAAGAAAATACATATTTTATGAATGCTCCAAAACATTTTAAAGTTTCTTATTCGAAGGTTTATATTTCGGAGTTATTTGTTAATTGTTTTTTTTTATATCTTTAAATTGATTAGCTAAATATTATAATGGTGACTTCAAGTAGTCTTTATTCAGAGTATCATCATCATCAGTGCTAAACAAAGGTCTCTTCTCACATGGAGAAGGTTTGAGCATTAATAACTACGCTTGATTAAGACGGGTTGGTGATTTAGGTCCTGTCGGTAGTAGATCCGGGGTACACCGACATAGCGGCCGATGGCTTTCGCAGTGGTTTTAGCGAGTAGGGACCTGCCCAAGCCGAGTCTCACACACCAAGGCCGGTTAGACGGCTCGCAAAAAGAGTTTCCTTGCGTCAAAAAAAAAATGGCTGGTGATTTAAAACTTATAATTTGAAATTTTAAGTCCAAGTTTCCGATGTTTTCCTTCGCCGTC